TAAGTTGGACCTAATGGGTCACACACAAACACCTAATTGTCTAGATGTTCTAGCATTAAAGGTATTGAGCCTAATAATAGTTATTGGCCCAAGAAGTTGTTTGGAACTCCACCTAAAGGGGTGGAGGGCGCATGGTTCATTGTAATGGGCTTGGATAGTCCAAAGACATTACTAATTAATTTAATTAGTTAAATTAATTATCAAACATTTAAATTTTGAATTTTGAATTTGAAATTTGAATTTTGAAATTTGAAAATTTGAATTTTGAATTTGAATGTTTGAACATTTGAATTTGAATATTTGAATGTTTGAATTCAAATATTTGAATTTGAATTTGAATTGCCTATGAAAGGTTGTTTCATAACAAAAGGATAATATGAGATCTTGTTGGAACAAATCACTAGTATCATGAGAGAATCTTTTGGACAAGATCCAAGGCCATATATGGCGCTGATTTGGGTTGTTGGTGAGCAAGATTTGCTCATCAAAATCAACTCCAGAAGATTCAGTCAGTTGGGAGAAAATCTGAGTGAGTTGATTCAAATTTGAATGCAACTACTCAGATGTATCTGGTCACCTTTTTGGGCTATATGGGGCGCACCATATAGCTGATCTTATGAAGATTTCTGATCAGAATTTTGAATAGGTTTTGAACCAATTCTCAAGAGAATATTCTAGGAGACTGTTAGCAATTTTTGAAATAAAACAGCTCCACTTCTCTATCTCCAATCTGGCGCCTAATGATCAGATTTTTAGGAGAAAAATCTGATTGGTATTTTATTTTAAATACTCTCCTCTTATGCACCTATGTGATCAGTTGTTCCTCCAAGGGTTTTTCTGAAAACCTAGCCTATTCTCTCCTCTCTCCTGCGCCACTTGTGAAGCTTTCAAATTGAGAGCTTCACTTTTTCAAACACTTTCACCTAGCCTCCATCTTCACACATAGAGCGCCTAGCAAGCCTCTTTGTGGTGATCATCCGGTGGCTTCACAAGAAGGAGTTCTTGCACCTAGACGAGTGGGTGGTGTGGATCAACGTTAGAGGGTCTGAACCCTTCAGACCGGCCTTGATCATCTGGTGATTTCACGAACAAGGTAACATCATGCTTTCCTAAAGCATGATCTTGATGTGCATGTATATTCCGCAAAGAAAAATTTTGTTTTTCCCTCTTGCATGCATCGCCCTTCAAGGCCATTTCGAACTTTCAAATGGTATCAGAGCCCGGTTGCTTTACCATCGACGGGTGATGGTACCTTGTTTGTGATCATATTTTTCACGGTTAAAATCTCTTTAAAGGTTAAAGATTCAATTTGTAATGAATGGATTCTAATTTACAATACTTTAAACGGTTAAAGTTTTCGTTTTTATGAACATGTTATTTCGAATGCCATGTTCATGCATCCATTCATATTCATGGTTGTCTTTTTCTTTATAAAAGTTTTAAAAGGAAGCACCTTTTCGACCATGAAAGGTGTTTTGAACACCTTGATTGTTTTCTTATTTTTTCTCCATGAATTGTTTCATGAGCATGAAATAAATTTTTTCGAAAATTAATCTCATATACATGAGTATATGGTTCGGCCATGAAGTGTTGATGGCTATATGCATGATTTAATTTTGTGTTCTTTGAGAAAGAGTCAACAAAATTAGAATTATATTAATTGTTATATATATTTTTTATTTTTTTTTGGAGTTACCCAACCCTAATTACCTCTTAGAGGCGAGTTGGCTCCCTCCGGTATCCCCACGAGCTTCGACTCTTTGAGCCGGCTATGGGACTAATCCGGAGTGCGGGGGATCAGTGATGGCTAAAGGTTCAGCCCCCTCCCCAAAAATGCATTCAGCAGGAATCGAACACATGTCCAACCCCACTAACTCAGTGCCAAGTTACCAACTGAGCTGCACCCATTGGGTTAATTGTTATATAATTCGGCCAATTGAAAAATTAAGAAAAGTTTTAAATTTTAAATATGTTTTGATAATTAATTGTTAAATATCAAGACATACGTGAAAAATATATATTATGTGATAATATTTTGTACTTGTGAGTTGTCTAACATTTCAGGTGCAAAAGAGGAAGGGGATGGTCATGGTGCCCGGAATTTGAAATTTCAAATTTAAATTAATGTGTAATTTTGGCCTCTTTTAAAAGAGATGTAATTTGAATTTCAAATTTTGTAATTTAAATTTTGTATTTTAAATTTTGTCCCTCCAAGATGTTTTGGAGTTTCTTTAATTGTAATTAGAGAAATTAGGCTAGTGGCGTATAGACGACAAGAAGCCGAGGCTTGAGAAGCAAGATGGACAAAAGAGTGAGCACCATGACTATCTCAAAATAAAACTGTTTTATTTGCATGTATATTATTATACGACTAGTATGCATGAGATAGAGTATCGCGATATGTATGCTTTATGACTTATGACGTCTAGTATGCATGAGTTGGACTAAATCGCGTTTGTATGATTATTATGCAAGTCCAATTGCGACTAGTTTAAACCGTTAGATGTATGACATAGGTTACGCCTAGCATGATAATATATTAATGCGTTTGATGAGACTTAATAAACCCTTAATAAAATGAACCCTTAAAATGAATAAAATTAAAAGCGCATGGTTACCTCCCACCACCAATATTACTCAAACCTCCTCTAAATAGTGGTGCTCTACAACCCAGTTGGGACCCACTATTTCGTTGAGTAAGAGTAGTATTAGAAGTGTAAGACACTTGGGGTGCTGGTTAGTGCTTAACTGAGACATAAGCTGCAGGCCCAGCCGGCCTTATGTGCTTAGGGTAATAGTGCTAGGTTGGTTGCATGAGATGCACCACTAAGTGACAAGGAGTTGTCAACCTAATGTTAAGAAAGGGTATGAGATACCATTGATAAAGATCAATCCATTATTTAAATTAATCTTGCGGTCTCAGACGGGGGTTAAAATAAATAATCGCATTCTTAATCCCACTAAGGTAAATTCTAAAAGTAGAATAACCCTAAGTCAAAATGAAGGGTCATTGACTTAGATAAAATAGTGGGAGGGGAAAAATTATTTGAAGTCTTTAATAATTTGTTTTTACTACATGACCAAATATTAATTAATTTTATCTTTACATTTTTCAGTTAATTAGTATGACTAATACACTGTCACTGCGCTCCATACTTAATACGAACAAGCTGACCGGTCCAAATTTTATGGACTGGTATCGGAACCTAAGAATTGTTCTAAGGGCCGAAAAGATTGCTTACGTCCGAGATGCTGAATTACCCGTAGCTCCTAGGGAAGGGGAAGATGGGTTCGCGGAATTTGATTTTGAGGCCCACAAACATCACATGGATGACAATGTGTTGGCTGTCTGCATCATGTTGGCATCCATGTCGCCTGAACTGCAAAAGCAGCATGAGCATATGGATGCTCCCTCTATTGTCTTACATCTCAAGGAGTTGTATGACATTAAAGGCAGGCATGAGAGGTATGAGGCCTCAAGAGAATTGTTCTCTTGCAGGATGTCTGAGAGCATGTCTGTTGGCAGTCATGTTCTTAAGATGATTGGTCTGATTGAGAAGCTAGGAAATCTAGGCTTTATCATGGATGTCGAACTAAGTAATGACTTAGTGCTCACCTCACTTCCACCTTCCTTTAGTCAATTCATCATGAATTACCACATGCATGGGATGCAAGTGAGCTTGCCTGAGTTGTTAAGTATGTTAACAACTGCTGAAGTGTCTATCAAGAAGGATAAGACACAAGCTCTTCTGATTGGTGGGCCTAGCAAGGCCAAGGGTAAGGGTAAGGGGCCTGCTAAAGGTGACTCCCTTAAGCCCAAAGGAAAATCCAAGAAGAAGAAGGGCAACAAGAAGGGTAAGAAAGCATCCAAGGACAAAGGCGATGCTGAGTGCTTCCATTGTGGCAAGAAAGGCCATTGGGAGAGGAACGAGGTGGACCTCCGCGTTGGTAATGGAGCAAGAGTTGCTGCTCATTCTATTGGAGAAGCCGACCTCATTTTGCCTACGGGCCTTTTCTGCATTTGAATAAATGTCTTTATGTTCCAAGTATTTCTAGAAACATTATTTCAATTTCTTGTTTAGAACGAGATGGATTTATTTTCAGTATTAAGAATGGTACATTTTCTATCATTATGAATGATATTGTTTATGGTACTGCTAGCGCGTTATAACTTAAAAGTTATTAAACGAAGTTTCAACGTAGGAGACCTAGTCCTACAAAGAGCGGACATTGGAAATAAGAACGCGCGACAAGGTAAACTAGCCGCAAATTAGGAAGGTCCATATCGCATCCAAAGCAAGACTGATAAAGGTGCATATGTCATCGAGACTTGTCTGGGCTTACCATCCCGCGCACATGGAACGCAGATAAGCTTAAGATATTTTATAGTTAAGTCTTTTCTGTTTGAGAAATATTTGTCTTTCCAAAATTATCAAATAAAGATTGCAGATTTCTACATTGTTGATATATATATAGCGCACATGCATATATGATTACTATATTCATCGCGTATACAAATAAAGAGACAGGATCAAACATGATCTCACTTGCCCAAACATAAGGGCGCGATACAGTAAAGCGCGATGACCTCGAAGTAAAAGGACCCTCCAAGTGAAAGGATCCACTAAAAGGACCTTCCAAGTGAAAAGATCCTATAAAAAGGACCCTCGAAATGAAAGGATCCTCAAAAAGGATCCTCCAAGTGAAAGGATCATATTAAAAAGGACCCTCCAAATGAAAGGATCATATAAAAAGGACCCTCCAAATGAAAGGATCCTCTAAAAGGATCCTCCAAATGAAAGGATCCTCTAAAAAGATCCTCCAAGTAAAAGGATCCTCTAAAAGGACCCTCCAAGAAAAAGGATCCTCTAAAAGGACCCTCCAAATGAAAAGATCCTCTAAAAGGCTAAAGAAAGAAACCAAGAAAAAGAAAAAGAAAAGACAAAGAGCCTGAGAATGAAATAAATCTGGAAAATTTTGATGACAGTGAACCGGTGCAGGAACATTCTACGGGCGACCGTGGACCTTCGGGTCACAAAAACAAAAAAGGTGAAGAATTGAAGTATACTAATGAGAATTCTCATGGGAATTCTCGGACAGTTTCTCGAATTCTCAATCCATTTACTCCATGTATGATGAACACCCCAATCCCTAGAGATGTTACAATTACAACTGAAAAGTACAACGGGAAGGGAGATCCACAGGAACATCTGGAACAATTTCATACCAACATGATGGCACAAGATGTAGCTGACCCAATAGTAGGTCGGTTGTTCCCAACAACCTTAAAGGAGACAGCACTTAGGTGGTATTTCGCGCTATCACCCAACTCAGTACAAAGTTGGGAGGATGGAACCAGCCAATTTCTTATACGGTTCGCAACAAGCAAAGCGCAATACAAATCCACGCACGCGTTGAAAATGGTGCGACAAGGACCAAACATAACATTGCGTGATTACCTCAACAAATTCTTTGATGAAGCACTCCTCGTCAAAGACTTAGATCCACAAGTCTCCTTACATCTCATTACTGAGGGATTACTAGAAGGCCCTTTCTCTATGTCATTAGCCAAACAACGACCACGTACCATTGAAGAATTGCGTGTGCGATCAGTCAAAATTTTTAATCTGGAAGATTATAATCGCTCACGTGAAATTTCCAATATCAAAGCAGACAAGAATAACTTTGAAAGAGATACCCAAAAGAACGTCCAGCGAAAGTTCTGTGAAAAAAGAAAATGGGAAAGATATGACAATTATACTCCTTTGAACACATCCAGAGATGAACTCCACCGCACGGGACGATCCTACTGACAGACGCCAAGGAACTCCATTGAAAAATAGACAGCGCATCACGCAACAGCAACCACGTCTGTTACCCAATAATGCGGCAGGCGTCTTGGCCACCATCGCCGGTGGAACGACAAGAGGAGGCGCGACCAGCTCCCAACACAAAAAGCATTTAAAATCAGTAATGACAATGTACGATCATGCTCGCCCTTCCACTTCTCGTGTCCAAAGGCAGGCCATAAGTTTTGACGATGATGATTATGGTGACATCATTCCAGACCACGATGACCCTTTAGTGATCTCAGCTTGCATGGCTAATCTCCAAGTAAAATGTATTATGATTAATAATGGCAGTTCTGCTGATACTATTTTCTGGGATACCTTCCACGCGATGCACATCTCAGAAGAACATCTAATCTCTGGATGTTCAGATTTAATTGGTTTTGCTGGAGAATGCGTACAACCCAAAGGTACCATTGAAATGTGGGTAATCTTTGGTGTAAGAACCCGCACCGTTAATTAAGGAAAATAATTAATTAAATGCGTGAAATTATGAAATAATTCCATAATTGACCTTAATAATTATGAGAAGGCTAAAATAAATATAGAAAGTGATTAAGAATTCTGAAAGTCGCTTTTCGGAATAAAAGTGCAGATACCGGTTCTGCTACTCGGTATAAATGCGTACCGATGAAGTATCCCGGAAAATTATAATAAGTGCATGAATATTCCTAGAATAATATGTAGGACTTGTAAAACGAGTTTCAAGTTAAAATAATGAGAACTGGTGCCAGAATCTGATACTGGCTATGGAAAGCGAGTATCGGAAAGGAGCTGCGAAAAATAAAATAAAAATATGATAAATCTTAGAAAAATGAGTAGGTTCAGAATCCTAAGTTTGGGATTAAAATGCTAATCGTAGCAATTAACGCTAATATTGTGCGATTAAAACTAATTAGACTATATATAGGTGTGTACAAGTTTCTAGGTTAGAAACTTGACATTCTCTACGTGAGAATTTGCTGAGTGTGAGCTGCCACCTTCTTCCTTTGGCCTTCTTGCATGAAAACTCTCCCAAGTCACCTCATTTACCATGGATTCTTTTCTTTAAACCTTGTAAACACTTAGAGGTGTGTGTTTGGAGGGTGAAAGCCTTCACCTTTCTGAGTTTGAGGTCTGCCTTGGTGAGAATTAGGGGCTGTGTTGCTGAGTTGGGAGGGTGGAGCCTTTGTGAAGGAATTTTGAGCTTCAAGGAGTAATCTTTGAAGGAAAGGAACCATTGTTGTGTGCCATTTTCGTGCATCTTCAAAGTCAGAACCTTGGAGGATGTTGGTGAGCTCCAAGAGCACTCATTTCTCTGTTTTAAAGCTTGGGTAAGTGTTACCAACCATTGGTCATGAGTTTTAATTGATAAAAAAGGTGTCTTGTCATGCTTAATGGGTTAAACAAGTATCCAACCTGAACATGAACATAAAAGCCTTTAAAAATGCATGCATGGACGTTGTAATGGGTTAAAAACCCAACATTTAAGTGATATCTTCGCGAAAATGCAGAACTGCATTCTGTCGTGAAATATCCGGATATGGATATCCGGATATGGGGTCTGGTGATATCCGAATATCGATATCCGGATATGGATATCCGGATATGTCCCCGACATATATCCGGATATTCTAGGAATTTCGGAATAGTGACGGTACTAATCATACAGAATGTCATTTTGGGTTTGTGGACCCATGATTGACTTATGTGGACCCATGAGATTCCAGCCTGTTTTGCTTAGTGATTCGGCATATGCGCACATTGAAGCGTCGAACAAAGGTGAGAACTACCTTCATCTTTGTATATTGGCAATTCAATTTTTTGGCAATTCAATTTTTTATTTGTAAGGTCTTTGGTGATATTAGGGATTTATGGTTTTTCGTTCCCCATTTAGTTAATGAGGATTGTCTCCGCTTGCGTGAAATAAGGATTGATATAATGCATGATGTACTATGGTTAGGCTGAGAAAGATAGTTGGAAGGAGCAATAATATTTTGAACACTAAAAAAAAATAACATCATGGCCTTGCCCATATAGATAAGAGATGAGGGACAATCATATTTTTGAGTGCTCCCATAATTGATACTCCTTGAGAAAAGGTACCCCAAGTAGTTTTTTTTTTTCTTACGTACACTGAAAAACAAAGGGGCTATATGGTTTTCATTCCTATTTATTAATTTTCTTTTCTTTTTTGTATGTGTTATCTGGCAGGGGGATGATTTACACTTGCTAGATATGGAAATTAACAACAGTTTGTGTAGTACATCGAACTTGCTATATAATACAGACATATAGCTCTGTCTTTTTGGTATATTTATCTTTGCATAAGATTAAAGCTCAAATCTTATGCACTGATTTATGGGGGCATTTATCTATGTTGTTGGGTGAAGAATTTCCCATATAAACAACATAAGGCTGCAGATAATAAGAGAAGCTTGTAAGACTCTGCCATAACAATATAGAATAAAAAATAAGATAGAGGGAAAGTGTGTGTGTGTAAACCTTGGGAATTTGATCTGATATTGCTATACTATAGATCAGAAGAGAAGTTATAAAGAGGAGATAAATGAATTGAAAAAGCCACTCATTGAAGAAGTTGAGATGAAGTGCTTCTCATTCAATCATCCATTTGTAGGTTAAAGCTTGAAGCATGAAGCATGTGAGAGCATCTTTGTTAATTCTTTTGCACCGTTTATATGTTAAACTACTGCTATTACTACTACTGTATATTTTTCTTCATTCTCTCTTCCTTTAACTTGTTTTTCTAATTGCTACTACTAGAATAAGTTTACTCATTATTGCTTGCCCAGATTAATAAAAATATTATTGGAAATTTTATCTCTTTTTTCTTCCCTTTGGTATGTACTATTTTTAAATCAGTGTAATAAAAATATATACTTGAGCTGGATGCAAATATTTGTCCCTGTAATATCCCCTTCCAGAAAAATGAGTGCCCAATCACACAAGGAAGAAATGGGAATATTTTGATTTAAGGTAATTTCAAATGTTGCAATTTAGTTACTCTAGAACAAGCAATAAAGTTTTCGTTCTTTCATATTAATTCAAATTAATTTATTTTGCTTGTCGTTTTTAATTTATGTCCATTATCTTAAATCATACTATCTTTGATTATTTATTTTGTTTATTTTTTCTTTCAGCTTTTTTTTAAAAAAAATTGTGTCTTTTTTTCCGTAAAGGCTGTTAACCCCAAACCTTGTCTATTTTCATTGTTTATCTGATGATTTATCATCACTAAAAATATATTTGATAGGTCTACGGTGAACCAAACATATCTTACATGTGTTACATGTAAGATGGGGTTCATAAGCTTATATTTGGTGCCACTGAGTGCCCAATGACATAGCTGATTTTGTACTTGGAGAACTATTGCTTGGCCGGGTAACTAGCTTCTTTAGTATGTTTGATTCTGGCATATTTATAATTCATATCTGTACAGAAACTAAAAATGAAGTCTAATTGCTGTTAGTTTCTCTTTCTAGGTGAGAGTGTGGAGTTTGCTAGAGCTTACACCCAAGAAATGATGTTGAAATATTTTTTTGCAGTTGTTTTCATGCTTCAACGATTCTTGTAGGGCTAGAAGTTAAAGTGATTGCTGGTCATCCTTTGGCTTCTGACATATTGTTGAGTTCAGAATCCTCCATTGAATTGCGAAAGGTTATTAATTTATATGAAACTTTCTGAGATGGAAACAAAGAGAGAGCTTACACTCGAATAGTCACATATATGCAACTCAGATTAATTATAATTTGCGAATAACAACTCTCATATATGCAAAATTTGAGTTAATTTTACATGGGGTGTCTAGGAATTTGTTGTATATGCTTTCTTGCTACATTTTCCCTTCTTTAATACACAGAAAATGGTGCTTTGATTGTACTTAACCAAACAAAATAATATAACAGTCCCTTAAAGCTTTATTTTCTTACTTTTCTCAGTAGAAAATTTAATTTGGCTGCTTTCTTTGTTTAGTGCTTTTCAGATAGACAAGCACTTGGAGAAGTAAGCCAAGAGATCCTTAATGCTAAAGTGAATCCAGCAGTGTGGGAGATTAGTGGACACATAGTGCTAAAGAGAAGGGTGGATTATGATGAAGCATCAGAAGCATACGCATGGAAACTTCTTGCTGAGGTTTCATTGTCAGAAGAGAGGTTCCAAGAGGTCAAGGGTTATATTCTGGATGCTGCAAGGTTGCATGAAATAGATATAGAAGAGAATCACATGATCAAGGAAGAATTTGTTCAGAATTAAGAACCAACTACTCCTCAAGCAGCCTCACAACTACCTAGAGATTGCTTGGTTCAACAATAAAGAAATGGCTTCTATAGAGGCTGAAAAATATGCCCATGTGTATATGTTTCATAGAATATAGGATAGTCATAGATTTTTCTGCTATCTGTAGAACTGATATCAAGTAAGAAAAGGCTGATGATATAGAAAAGGGTTATTTTTTATTATTTTAAATGTTATGACAATTTCAAAAACTAATGCATTCCATATGGACAAATCAGATGATATAGAAAAGGCTGATGTTTCCTGCAATGTACAAATTATTATAAACTAATACACAAATAATGTTATTCTTTTTTTCTCCTATACGAAAATACCCAGCGGTTTTGGAAATTTTCAAAACCTACTCTACATGGATTTATCCAGCAATAAGCTCAATGGAAGCATGCTGTTAGGTTCCAATTATATAGATAGAATTAAATGAAAAATTAAACGCTGAATTTGTGTTGCTCAGAACTGGTTCTAGTAAGAAACCGATGGAAGGAATTACAGGGTATGGAAAAATTACAACAAATTAGATAAAGGTTAGATCCACAATGGATATATACTGAACCTTGAATCCTATCACGTCCTTTATATTGATCTATGACTATGATGAAAGTAACATTGCCAAGAATAAAAAAAAATCTTCCATAAAATCGGTTCGAAAAATAGTTCGAAACCGGTTCAGAAAT